ATGCCAGGGTACTTGCACCTCGCTTTCTCTATCCTACTCCCTAGGAGTTAAAGCTCATTTCATGGCTCTCTGTATGGGTTCTCACATTTTCTCCTGGGCAGACCTGGGTTTGCAGCCTGCTGTCTCCCGGGTCTCTGCTTTTAGGCAACTAAAGGGCAGTAGGCCAGAGGCTGGCAGTTCAAAGCCCCCCTTACAGATGGTCTGTCAAAGCACTGTTCAGAGCAGATGGCAAGAGGGTAAAAAAAAAAAAACACTGTGACAGTAGTGTGTGAAGCCAGGGCGAAAGAGGAAGAGGGTGACTCCCAACCCTTTCTGAGTATGCAGTTGGCAAAGACTTGGTCTCCTCTCTGCAGAGCCCACACAGCTCAAGCTGGACGAGGAGCTGCATGGCCTGCGTGGGCCCTGAGCCCATGGGGTTCTTTCTTCAGCACTTCCAAAGAACACAGGACTCTATCAGAGTTGTGCAAATATACTGGCTAAGACAGAAGGCTCAGAAGCCAAAAATAGCCTCTGGATCCCTGCTGGCTTTGGTTGTGCCATGATGTCAGCAGGGGCGGTGAGAACAGTAGATGCCCAATGATTAAAACTGTGATCTCCAGGTCTTTTGCGCCTTCATTTGGAGGGTTTTACATGCCTTTTCTGTTCCACTGAGCCAGAGGCAGGACTCCGAACCTTGTCAAAGCATACAGCAAGAAGATCCCCAAGCTTCTTCCAAGCCCAGAAATCTCCCTTTCAGATCAGACAAGATCTTTTGTTCCTATGTCATGAACATCCAGATTGTATCCAGAGAATGAAGTACAGGGACCCTGTTGAGTCCAAAGGCTCTGCCTATAGTCCCCAAGTTCTCAGAGGACCCCCAAATTCAACAGTCCCCTGGGAAGTGCTTTGGTGATGGGGGTCTCAAGTGTTGCATTGGGTCACAGTCAGGGACAGACAGGGGAGGATCAAGTGCAGGCTGTTTGTAGGTCAGAAATGAAAGTGTGTATGGTTGCCTCACCTGTCATAAACATCTCCTTGGGGCTAAGTCTAGGGGCCAGAACCTCTCAGGGGTTAGTATTGGGTTGTGACTACTGGAACATGACCTAGCCAAATGTCAAAGCCAGTTAAATCTCCCTCCAGGAGAAGGTTAAGATAGACTCACACCATGAATAACTTCTGGAGGTCATGAGGCTAGTAAGGAGGGGTAGTGGAGGATGGGCAAAGTGTGACATGGTGGTAGCACTGTAGCACTCTCCTCCCATTGTTCATAGATTTGCTCAAGCGGGCGCCAGTAATGTCTCCATTGTGAAACTTGTTGTTACTGTTTTTGGCATATTGACTACACCATGAGGATCTTTGCTGTGTGGGCAGGATACTCTCGGTAGCTTACCGGGCTCTCCGAGAGGGATAGAGGAATCAAACCTGGGTCGGCCGGAGTGCAAGGCAAACATCCTACCCGCTGTGCTATTGCTCCGCCCTGACGTGGTAGTAAGACACAAAAACTACAAGGCCAGATCCAAACTTAGGGTAAAGAACTCAGATTCTTGAGAACTTAAAGGGATAGTACAGTGAATAAGGCACTTGCTTTGCATGTGGCTGACTCGGGTTCAATCCCCAGCTTCCCATATGGGATTCCCCAGGCACTGCAAGGAGTGACTCCTGATTGCAGAGTATTACTGGGTGTGCCCTCAAACAAAACAAAATCAGACTCTTGGTGATACTTTCTAAGCTCACAGAGAGCCCAGAATCAAATTAATGGGTTTGAAAGAACTGGATCAGCAGAGAATTCTCACACCTGTCAAACATAATCTCATGCCCAAATGGAAAGTTTCCAGAAGGGACATTCCAGAGGTAACATCTTATGAGGGCCATATGTAACAGGCAGCGGGGAAAGGAGAAATTTCCAGTGGAAAGGATCAAAAGCAACCCATTTTGTTAATCAAAGAACTCACCCCACTGTCCAGGATATGCTGTAGTTTAATGACTTAAGTTTTCTCTTCTCCCCTTTCCCTTTTTAAATGGTTCTCTTACTTCCTCCACAATTTCATTTTAGTAACATAAGGGTAGTTAAAATTACTTTTTTAGCCACAGATGAAAGATTCATAAGAAGTCATATTCATCTCAGATGTAGACTTATACTTCTAAGAAACCCTGGGCTAAGGGATCAGTAACTTCACTGATTATGTTTCTAATCTCACTGCAAAGTGGATTTTTTGAGGGAACGTTGGATCTAAAATTATTGCATCATTAGACACATTTTTTAAATTGAAGGTTTGTCAAAAAATGCATCGGTGAATGTTCAGCAACAAATGGAAAACATAAAGAATCTATATTGTTTCCCTGCTTATCATTCCTTCCTTTGGGTACAAACCTCTCCCTCTTTGGGAACCAGCCTCTCTCCTCCACACAGTCCAGTACAACTGTTGATTACAGTGGCCTATTTTTCTAGACTACACATGTTCATTCTGGCCCATGTCCTCCAGCATGAGAACTAATGGGCCACACATAGGCGGCAGAACCAAGAAACAGAGACAGCATCATTTGAACCCTCCATCCAGAATGCAGGCAGAAACATTGGATTTTTCAGTTGTCTAAACCAATGACTTTTCTACTGACTTGGTCACTTGTGTCTGTTGATACTTTTAACTGAAAAGGTCCCGTCTAATATATGAACACACAAACAGGCACAGATGCCATGTGGTTCAAACTCACTAGACATTATACAAGTCTTCATGATCTTATAGGGGCCAGCAAACTTTTCATATAAAAAAATAAACATTTTTGGCTTAGTGGGCCACAAATCTGTCTTTGGGCTGGAGCAATAGCACAGTGGGTAGGGCATTTGTTTGCCTTGCACATGGCCAACCCAGGTTCGATTTGCAGTATCCCATATGGTCCCCTGAGCACTGCCAGGAGTAATTCCTCAGTGCCTAGCCAGGAGTAACCCCTATGCATTTCCAGGTGTGACAAGAAAAGAAAAAAAAAGAAGAAAAATTGTCTCTGTTCCATATTCTGAGTTGGGAGGCCATAGAGAGAACAGATAACAGGTCAGATTTGTCCACAGACCATGCATGCAGATCCCTGACCTAAATCGCTCCAACCCTGGAAGCACAGAGTCTGCCAGCTCCTAAGCATGAATCTAAAGACTTAAAATTCCATTTTGGTTCAAGCATTTCGACAAATGCTTTGCTAAGGAATTAAGTTTCAAAGCAGAGAAAGTGGTGTGGGGGGAAGGGCTTGCTTTGTGCCAATTTTCTGCCTTATAACAGGCCATAAATAAATGGTAATTGTTATTATTTATTGGCAATGAAAACAATTTATAAAAATGAAGCATTGGTCTAAACAGATCTGTACAAATGTTTCAGTTCTTTCTTAAAGAACCTTCACCTCCTTCTGGAAACCTTCATGACATCTCAATCAAGTCTTAGTTAAGTACTCATCTTGCTATTATAGGCTGCTGTGACTACTGACTACAATATTGGTCTTTTCCCAAAAACTGAGTCCTTGGAGTACACCTATGCCCTCACTCCTAATAAAGTGCTCTGCACCTAGCTCTAAGGGCCCCTGTGCCTTGAGGGGAATATCTGCTTGGATATGTGGGCGGTCCAGCTCTCCTCCATGTTCACTGAGGGCCAGTCTCAGCATCAGCCTAGTGGAGGTATACAGGTGCCTTGGTTCTTGCTCCTCTTTCCACTGGGAAACTGCTGGTTGACACGCAGCACGCCTTATGTGATAATGTGATTACCATATTTTGGATTCCCATTCCCTCCAAAAATGAGTCAAAGACAGAGGAACAAGTGGGAACAAGTTTTCTTAGAAACTGTTAGGAAGGAGGAACCCTCTTCCCCCACACCCACATCCTTCGCTATCTGATGTGCTATCAACTCAGAGGCCTCTCGCCTCAGCAACATCCGGGCATCAGATGATCACCCCCCACACCACTGAGGTCCCAGATTAGCTTGGCCCATGTCTGTGGGGTGGAAGGGAAAATCTGCCTAGGGGAAAACATGTGGTAGGCCCTGCAGGCCCAGGAGAGGCTGACCAAGGCAAGGTGAGTCATGGTGATCGAAGCTGAATCTTTTGCCCATCTCACAGAAGCAGGCAGAAAGCACCACCATTGATCAGCTTAATATGGCACCCACTGTATACGACAGACAGACACGGACAGACGGACAGAGCACACACTACTTCTAAGCTGAACACCGCTCACCATCTAGAAGCACCGTGGATAAGCACATGTGAGACACTCTTGCATAGGAAAGATGGACTGTTTTTGTTTTTTAAGGAATGAAGAAGTATTTTGGCAAAACATCTACTTCCCTCCCAGGTCCTGGGTAGAGAGGGACCTCTAAATTCTGAAGCTTCTACATAGTGGAAATGATCCCCCTTTTTTCAATGGCAGTATTTACAGTAGCAAACCTTCTCGGTCTGTCTTCACAGCTTTCCACCTACACCCTGACTCTACAGGTGGACAAACTTACACTTCGAGACAGAAGGTGGCCTGGAGCGAGGGGACACAGGGGCTGGCTTAAGGGGAGGGCACACAGGAGGTGTCTCAACTGAGCCAAAGGCAGGGCCTCTATCTGGATGGGAAAGAGAAGGGTGGGATGGCCTAAGACCGCCCTCCTTCTTCCTGCCTGGGGAAGCAGTGATCCCAGGGAAAAGGCAGTCAGGGAGGAAAGGCGGGCTCACCCCTGCTGGTTTGGGGGTTCTTGGGGTGGCAAAGGCCCAGGCAGGCCAGAACTTCTCCTGGGGTCCCTTGGAGGATCCTCTCTGAGTTTATGGGGTCACTGCTTCCATAATTCTCATGACCAGCATCTGAGCCTGACTGCAAGTCCTTCCTTCCTTCGGAAAGGTGGGGTATGGGAGGGCATCACTGAGGAGGGAACGAGACACAGAACCATCTTTCTGTACCTCCCTCTGCCTCGGCTGGGCTTTCAAGGGTCTCTTTCACCCTGTCTCCTAGGGATAGTTAAAGGCAGCTTTTATGAGACTCTATACCATCTAGTTTCTCTTGTGGGTTTTTTTTTCCTTTTTTTCTTTTTTTAATTTATATAGAGATATATATATTCTTAAAAAAAAACACACACACAATAGTCCTTTGGTCCCTAAACTCTAAGGAATGATATGAGTTTGAAAGAAGTAAAACTGGGCTTCCCTTGCGGACAAACCCTTGGCACCCCCAATGCCCTCTGCTGGCTCCCTAGACGGTCAATCCTCAGCCAGCCCCAGCTGCCTCACCAGCCTGAGCACGTGTGTCCCAGGCACAGAACCACCCGCGTGATGAAACAATCGTTAGAGTGGCCTGAGCCCAGGCACCAGGCCTGGGTTCGATCCACCTTCATCCGCGGCTGCTCCTTCAGGAAGGGCGGCTCAAGCGTTTCTGTGCTTTTCCGTTCCTTTCTTCTCACTCTTCAGTTTCTGTTGGGAGGGATTCATTGATAAGGGAGCGGGCAGGGGAGAAAAAAGATCAGGGTCACTTTGGAGGGCAAGGTAAGAAGAGCAGCTCAGCCAGATATCAGTGCCAGGTGGGGTGGACGATGCTCTCTTCCCAACAGCCAGGGCAAAGGCTGCAGCCTGATTCACTGAAGGGGATCCTGGCCCAACACCCACTCTGGATGCCTCCCAGGGGGAGCCCAAGTGAGGTTACGGTCATGGGCGCCTTCTAAGATCGCAAATGTCAAAGCTGCAGGCGGCTGGCCCTGCCAGACATCTGAGAGGGTCGGCTATCATCCATCACACCCCACAGATTCGGCATCCTAAGTGTACTTGTTCCTCTTCTCAAACCCATGATCCTTGGCCTATCCTCTGGTCTGTTCTTTTCCCCTTGGTGAAGCATGAAGATGGTTCACTGCCATCTTCACGGTGGAGCCCAAATTCAAGGTTTTCAATATCCATCACCCCAAATCTACTTTCCCAGTCTCCCCCACCCCACCAACCTTCCTACACGTGGGGCTTTCCCTATAGTCCATAGTGCCCTGGAGCTATACTGGAGCATAGCTAGTTGGATGCATCTGGCGATGGGCAGGGATATTTTAAAATTTATCTGTCCTTGGATTAAGGGGAAAATACAGTCTCCAACTGTGATTTTTTTTCTTCATTCCTGACTCTTGTCTATTTCCCAGGCATTTTCAGAAGTGGGTTCCCCCTGGGTGGGAGGGACAGTACAGTGAGTAGGGAGTTTGCCTCACACCTCGGTTCCATTCCTGGCACCCCAATCCCCACCAGGAGAGATCCCTGAGCGCAGAGCCAAGGGTATGGCTTGAGCTCTGCTGGGTGTGACCCCCTCCCCCAAAGCAAATACAAGTGAGTGCCCTCAATATCCCAAAGGAACATCTAAGTTGAGACTGTCTTATTACACTGGCACCATCCACCTGGGGTCCACCAAGGACTCACCTCTGTGGCTGGTTAGTGAGAGAAGATCAGTAAGGCCGGTTGGCATCCTTGGGCCTCTTTAGCTGGACCTTGAGCCTCTTCATGCCAATCTGAAAGCCATTCATGGCTTGAATAGCAGTCTGGGCACTGGTTGGATTGTCAAAGCTAACAAACCCTGAAGGCGTGAGGAAAACAGGTTAACTGAGAGGTCTGCCTGGCTGGGCCTCCTAACTCTGACCAGTGCCCTCTGCATCCTGCTCACACGCACTCTAGGACTCTTGGTGAACGCACGCGCTTGTACTCACATAGGAGAACAACCTGACTTTCCTCAGGGTGTGATTCTTGAAAGCACAAGAAGCCACTGTGTGGTTGCCTGGGCTGTTCCCTGTCTTTCCCTGGAGGGCAGGTGGCTTTCTCCTACCACGGCTCCCACTGTGGTTTTCCTGACCACCTCTCGAGTTGAAGGTACCCAGACTCCTTCCCTAGCTCGTCTCTAACAATCTGAGCTAGTCAAACTACATCCGGACATCTGTCTCCAGGATATGGGAAACATGTGGTTCTTCTCTGAGCTTGGCATTGCCCCCCACCCTCACCCACAAGTCTTCAGGAATCATTAACGTGTGGAGGGACTGTCTTAGGGTCTACTGGGAACCGCATAGGGCCAGGAGGCCCGGGGGACTGGGGCCCAGCTCACCGAAACACTTGCTCTGGTTGGTGGCTCGGTCCACAAAGACCTTGGCAGAGACAACAGCTCCAAAGGGCAGGAATGTCTGGATGAGTTCTGCATCACCAAACTCCTGAGGCAGGTGATAGATGAAGAGGTTACAGCCTTCTGGGCCTGCAGGAACAGGGGCGGGCTGATTTAGGGGAGGGGTCCCGAGCACAGCCCTTCCCAACGACCTTCCACTGCGGCTCCCAGCCACTCACCTTCTCTCTGCTGCTGTGGCAGGGCCGAAGGCTGCTGGGCAAACGCTGTGCTCACGGGGCCATAGGCCGACGGATAGGCTGCTGGAGACAGACATGGGGCGTGGGCGGTGACCCCCAACTAGGGTCCCATCTTGGGGGCTGGGAACTCGTGCACCCTTTCAGTTGAGTCTAAACTCTGGAGAGGTCGCCTAAGTTCAGGGGTAGGGGCATGGGAAGGTCGACTTCTCATCAGCGTCTACCCACACCCCGACCCCCACCCCTAGTGCAGCGAGCGCAGCCGGGCTTAGTGCTGCACCCCTGCGTAGGTTACAGCCACAGCCAGACGCAGGGCTGGGGAGACGGTGGCAGGGTTGGCCCAAGGGGCGGTCGGAGACCACGCTGTGGGGGTGGGGGGAAGGAGCCCCTTCCCCGGGGGTGCTGGGCCACATCCCCCCGCTCCCCGCTCCCCGCTCCATCGCCGTGCGCTGGGCGGAGTGCCCACCTGTGTAGGGGGAGAGCCCGTTGTTGTAGAGCGTGTCCGTGGCCGGCTGCCCGTTGGTCTGCGGGGTCAGGGGCCCGAATCCGTTGACCCCCAGGGGCGCCGGCAGGCCGGGGAGCGCGCCGGGGCCGCCGCCCGGGGAACTGGCTGCTTGTGGGGCAGGGGGCGGGAGGTGTGAGGCGCCGGGTGGGCCCCGCTGGCGGCCGCCGCGCAGCACCCCCCTGCCCGGCGCGCCCTACCTGCGGGGGGCAGCAGGGGCGCGGCCACCAGGCTGAAGGCCGCCACGTGCTGCATCTGCGCCGCCACCGCGGCCACGGGCCCGAGGCCGGGGCCCTGCGCCGCCGCCAGCAGGGCCGCCTGGTGCTGCAGGATCTGCGGGCGGCGGGGTGGGGGGGGCGCGATGAGGGGGTGCGGGGGTCGCGACCCCCGCCCCGCCCTCCCCTCCACCTACCGCCGTGGTGTAGGCCCCGCAGGCCCCGAGCGGCAGCGGCGCGGGGTGGAAGGCGCCCAGCTGCCCGGCCATCTGCTGCATCCTGCGCAGCGCGCGCTCGCGGTCCGTGTCGGCCAGCTTGACCACCAGGCTGGACGAGGCGCCCTGGGCAGGCGGGGCGGGGCAGCGGGCGGGGGACGGTGACCCAGCGCCGGCCGTCACCCCGTCCCCGCGGCGGGCCGCCGGGGGCCGTGCCCACCCCGCCGGCCTCCCCCACGCCCCGCGCGCCCGCCCTCACCGCCATGGTCCGGCTGCCGTGCAGGCCCTGGATGGCCGCCTGGGCTTCCCCCTGGCTCCCGAACTTCACGAAGGCACAGCCTGGAAGCGGGCAGAGGGGGCGGGGGGCTGCGTCCGTCACGGGTCCAGGGCTCAGCCAGCCGCGTGGCCGCAGAGCGGTGGGGTCTCCGGGCCGCCCCGGGCGCGCAAGTCACCTTTGCTGGTGCCGTCGGGGCTGCGCAGGACCGTGCACTCCTCGATGTGGCCGAAGGGCTGGAAGAGGCGCCGGACGTCGTCCTCGCCCTGCTGCTTGCCCAGCATCCCCACGAACAGCTTTCGGTCCTCTGGGGACGAAGCCAGCAGTGACCTGGGGCCCCCCGGCCAGCGGGAGCGGCTGGGAGAGGCCCTTCACCAGGGGCTCGCTCGCAGGCCTCGAGCACCGCGCTGGGCAACACGAGGGGTTCTCGGAGGGTCGGAACTCAAGGGACCCAAGCCCCATTTCCAGTGGGGAAGGCCCGGGTCGGCAGATTGCCCCCCTCCCGGGAAAGGGCCCTTCAGGCGAGCCCTGTGACCCTGGAGAATCCTGAAGTGCTGGGACTAGAAACCTGGGTTTGGCTGGGATGCAAGTCCAATCTGGAGACAGAAGGGGCCTGCAGGTACAGCCTCCCGCTCTGAGAGGTGCCGCCTCACCCAGGCCAGGCTGACTTAGCTGGGTGTCACATAAGTCACCCAGATCTGGCCCCGCTCAGAGGGGGACGGGTGGGGCCCTCAGCCGGCCCCAACAGAACCAAAGACTGTCGCGGTAATCAAGATCTTCACAGGCTGGGGACAAGTTCCTCTGGCATGAGAATGAATCTGCTGAAAAATACACGGGTTTTGTGACCGAAACCTCCAGGATCTCAAAGAGGTGGGAATGGGCCCCCTGCCCCATCTCATTGTGCTTCCAGCTGCCTGGCAGTCACACCCATGAACGCCTCTGGGCACCAAAAAAGCACATTAACAACCAAGATCCAGAGACGCACAAATAAATCTCCGAAGGGAGCAAGATGCTGTAGAGACCCCAAATCACCCTCCAGTTAAAAATTTAACTCCAGCTCCAGCACCCTATTTAAAATTTTAGAATTCCTGGAGCACATGGCCACGACATCTCACACTTTATGCCGCCGATATACCAAGACTAGCACATCACATTTGAGGGGGTGTAAAGTAGAAAGCAACAGATCTTTAGATTATATGTATAAGCACACAAGACTCAACCTGTAACAACATGTTAATGGTCTCTTATACAGGGGCGTAATGGCTCCAAGGGGAGCTACAACAATTTCCACACATTTTCCTCTAAGGAAACCTTTTTTGATCATTTTTAGTGGTCTCTTCACAACAAGCAACACAAAATAAATTATTTAACATCTGCCTTTGGGGCAGGTTTGGATGGTGGTGGGAAAATTTAAAATAATGGTGGTGGGAAGGTGTAATGGTGTTGGGATTGGCATTGAAATATTGCATGTAATACATTACTGTGAACAAGTATAAAAATAAAATTTAGGGAGAAGGGTGCCCACTTTGCCCCCTCCCCCGCCTGCACCAAGCTAAGTGTCTGAATTTTGAATGGGTTAACACAAGTTGGAGAGGTCTGAGGGTGTACCTGGTTTCCGGTACTCACAAGGTCCCAGAGTCTAAGAAACCCTAATCCATAGTCCATTACCCCTCAACAAACTGGGCTAGGCAGATGGGAGGTCTTGGTTCCTGGGTATGAGGGAGACAAGGCTGGTTGGGAATCACAGACTGAAGTCAGGGTAACAGTGAAAATGAAGAACAGACAGACTCAAGTTATCAGTGGAAGGAATCGCCACTAAAACTGTGTTTTTCTTGGATGGTGTGGGATTCAACTTCCATTATCCTTCCTACTACCCTGAAGATGTCTGTCGATGTGGTGTCTGTGTGGAGAGTGGGCACTGACATTTATCTGGGATAGGTAGAGGAAATTATTCAAAGCAGTAGTGCCCAGCAACCTTGAGGGGTAAGAGATGGACAATGAGCTTGCAACCAGAATTCTGGAGGAGGTAAGAGCCTTCTGTGATGAGGATACAATCAACTGGGTGTGTTTTATTTAGGAGAGTGTTAGCCACAAACTTGTACCTTGGAACAGATTGCTGGTTTTCTAATCCTTAAAAAATGTTGTGGAATCCCTTGTTCTAACAAAAGTATTACGGTGAGGACCAGGAAGATAGTATGGGGTGATGGTGGACTCAACCTGCACTCAACCCCCAGCACCCTATGTTCCTACCTCTATCACTGCTGGTGGCCCCCAAGCACCAGAGAGTCCAATCAGGACCATATCTTTGAGTCTATCATGCAGCTGTCTGGTCCTGTTGGCCAAGACTTGGCAGCAGTGACCTTCAGTTCTCTGAGAAACACTTATAAGCCCCAACCCCAAGCACTGGGATAAAGCTCAGAATATGCAAGAAAATCAGAAGTGCTTTTAGGGGAATCCAGAGCATGGGGTGAAACAATCTGGAGTTCCTCCTGCTTTATCTTAGTCCCTCTTAAAAGGGTCCCCAAGAAAAGTCCTTCCAAAACCCCCAGAAAGTTAAAGACTTTGTGCATCCCAGAGTGTTCCACATGGCATACACTGAGGGGTATGAGATATCTTTCCCCAGAACTGGAGATATGAATCTCCCGAGGTTCTCTCTCCTTGATCACTAGACGATCGGAACTCAAGTCCCAGAAAAATGTAGCATTATTCTAAGTTGGAACATTAATATACCCAGTGTTTCTTCAAGAGACCCAGGAGGATTTGGAGAAGATAAAAGGGTCTCCAGAAACCCAAGGAGGAAGGGAGATTCAAAACACCCTAATTTATACTGCAGTTGTGTGGTTGAGAAGGATCTACAAGAAGGCACCGGAACTTAAGTAGAGATGTCATAGGCTGAGCTCGGTTCTCAAGACATGGAAGAGTTTATGTGGACAGTGGTCTGACACTTCCTCTGCTATTCCTATTTTTGCTCTATTTTTTAGAGGGGGCCATATGGGATCACTCTTGGTGGGCCCAGGGGACCATATGGGATGCTGGGGATTGAACCTAGGTCAGTCGCACATAAGGCAAGTATCCTTCCCACTGTACTTTCTCTCTGCATCCTTGTTATTTTCTTTATGGATGATGGTCAATTTAGAATTTTTTTGTTAGTTTTTGGGTCACACCCAGCAGTGCTCAGGGTTTGCTTCTGACTCGGCACACGGGAATTACCCCCTGGCAGGCACAATAGACCATATGGTATGTTTGGAATCAAGCAGAGCTGACCACATGCCAGGCAAGTGCTCTACCCACAGCACTATCTTTTCGACCCCAGTGGTGATTTGTTTAGGCTCATGTCAGAGACCATAAAATTTTATTATCCATTTTATTTTCCCCCCATAAGAGCCTCCCAAATTAAAAACTTTTATTTTCATGAGAGGGTGACACATGAAGTGGAGGGCTACTCAGTGGATCTGGATTATGGGGCTCCCCGAGTTTGAAGCTGAAATGAGGGTGGACTCCAGAGCGAGCGCTCTGCCCATGTCATGGCACTATTTGTACCCTACTCTCTTCTTTGCCATTTTACAGGGACCTTGATGCTGCCTGGCAGGAAGTGGCTCTGAGTCACAATGACCACGAACTTTAGAGTCATCCCATGCAGTGGGATAAGCTTCTTAAAAGACCTGACAAGGAAATAAATAAAAATATCTGGACAAGGAGAAGAGTAGGCTAGATCCCTGAGAGAGGAGGCCCTTAATTCGTAATCTTAAAGATTCTGAGCACCAAATAATGCCCTAGATAGAGACAGTGATGGGATATTTTTTGTTTGGTTTGGTTTGATCTTTGACTTTTATGTCACACCCAGCAATATTCAAAACTTACTTCTGGCTCTGTGCAGTGCCCTGAGGACCATATGGGGTGCTGGAAATTGAACCTGAGTCAGTCATATGCAAGACAAGTGCCCTCCCCACTACACTATCTCTCCAGGCCCCTGATGATGGGATTTAGTTCATATAGTTTAATAATTTTGTTTTGGGTAATTAAATTTCCTTTTGGGTAAACTCCACCAGTTTGGCAAAAAAGAGATTCTGCTAAGTCATAACTTTCTGAATAAAGGTATTTCATGGGTCACAAGTACATCCTCTAAAAAGATGGGACTAGCAGACAGAGAAGATAAGCTTTGCAAGCGTAGAAGGAATTAGAATGTAGCTTCAGTGTTAAGAGATGGTCAAAAAGATACATCACTGAATGGTATAACTGCATTTTTCTGTTGATGAATGTGCTCTCTTTCTTTCTTTTCTTTCTTTCTTTCTTTCTTTCTTTCTTTTCTTTCTTTCTTTCTTTTGCTTTTTTGGTCACACCTGGCGATGCACAGGGGTTACTCCTGGTTCATACACTCAGGAATTACTACTGGCGGTGCTCGGGGGACCATATGGGATGCTGGGAATCGAACCTAGGTTGGCTGCGTGCAAGGCAAACGCCCTACCCGCTGTGCTATTGTTCAAGCCCTCTTTTTCTTTTTTTTAAATCAAAAACATTTTGAACCCAAATCAAATGGCTGGAGCCACAGATTCCCATTTCCTTGGTGTTAATTTTGATTCTGGCTATACAGATCAGGGATTCTAATGCAGCAAATGAGATCCAGAGTCAGAGTCAGACCACTCTATCTGCCTCAGGAAAAGGCACCAAAGTGCTGTCCAAGAAAGAAGGCTCTGGGACACTGGATGTGACTCTAGCAAGCACCTGCTTACTCCATTCCCAGCCGTGCCCCACATACCCAGTACAATCCGGCAACAATGCTTCTTGCAATCTCCAGTACCACAGTAAGTATGTACTCCTCACTGTACCACAACCAAGTGTGTAAGAGCAACACAATTAAAAAAGGGCCACCCCAGGTGAGCATACACTGAGTGTACAAGTACAGCATCCAAACGTGCTACTTGTAACAACAAAGGAGCAGAAAGTGGGGGGAGAAAGGGGACTCCACCTCAGCCAGACCCAAAGGCATATCTGAGGTGCCTGAGATTTGGAGTCTAAGTCTCATGTCCTGCCAGGATGTCATAGTTATAGGGACCTTTTAGGGACCAGGGCTCAGCAGCCACCGAATACATCCTGAAAATACTAGTCCATGTTTCAGTCCAAATATCAACAAAGGTGGGCCTACAGGTGATAGCATTTGGAGTAAAGTATCTCTCCCTCTGATGCTCTTAGTGATGATGGCAGCAGAGTCCTGTGGGTGATTGTGAAAGCAAATCTCCTGGTCAGGTCTATGAGCCTCAAGAATGACTTTAATACACACACACACACACACACACACACACAAACACA